AGGTACCAGTGGATTGGCAAGATCAGTTGTAGTACCTATCTGGAAGAAAAAAGGAAACAAGAGAGAATGTGGAACTTATAGAGGAATATCTTTACTAAGTCATGTGGGGAAAATGTATGCAAAGATCTTAGAAGGTAGGACAAGAGCAAAGGTTGAACCTCTACTGAGTAAAGCACAATTCGGTTTCAGGAAAGGGCGAGGTTGCACTGATGCCATATTTGCACTAAGACAAGTCTGTGAAAAGACACTCGAATACGATAAAGAGCTGAACGTGGTCTTTGTAGATCAAGAGAAGGCATTCGACCGTGTAGACAGAGATGTGCTGTGGAGAATTCTTGACGATTACGGAGTGCAGGGTCAATTATTAGACAACATCAGAGCCCTCTATGAAAAAAGTGAAAGTGCAGTAAGAACATCTAGTGGTCTTTCTGAATGGTTCAAAGTCACAACTGGTGTCAGACAAGGATGTGTACTGTCACCATTACTTTTCATAACATACATGGATAAGATCACTGTAGAAGCAAACCCAGACGTGTATGCTATAAACGAATTACTTTTTGCTGATGATCAAAGCATACTGTATCAAAATGAATATGATCTACAGGAACATCTGACTACTCTCAACAACAGCTGTTTACAACATAATATGAGAATCAGTACAGAAAAAACAGAAGTTATGAAGATCAGCAGAACACACAGGCCACTGAATATAAATGTTGGAAGTGCCAAAATCAAGCAAACCAAAGAGTTCAAATACTTGGGCAGTATATTTACAGAGGATGGAAGAATGGACAGAGAGATAGAAACAAGAATACAGAAAGCAAATGCTGTCACATACCAACTATCACCTCCGCTTAAACATCCAGATATAACCATGAAGACCAAAAGACAATTGATAAACACCATCTTCATTCCAACACTCTGCTACCAGTGCCAGACATGGACAATCAACAAGACCCATGAAAGAAAAATAGAAGCCTGTGAAATGAAATGTCTAAGAAAAGCAGCGAATAAGACAAGACTAGACAGGATAAAGAATATAGACATTAGAAACACTGTCAAAACTACACCATGTTTAGACTACATAGAACATCAAAGAATGAAATGGTTTGGACATCTAACCAGGATGAAAAATGATCAAATAACATCACAAATTTTCAATCAAAGAAGCTCAGGATATAAGGCAAGAGGAAGACCAAGGAAACGGTGGAATGACGGGGTCTCCGAAACCTGCCAAAAGCATGGCCTCAGAACATCAGATGCTGCCCGCCTTGCTTATGACAGGAACTTGCATCTCCCCACAACGCTTAGCGGCATACGTGGAAGGAAAAAGTAAAAGTAAGTACAATTCTAAAGAATACCAAGAAGAAATGAGTGAGCATAAAGGGCCTTCTACATGGCGTTTGGCCTATAGTTCTAGGCCCATAATTATATACTCCAGTCGGCACTGGATGGAAGGTGTAGTCACCATCACGCCAATCGCATTTACTTTCCGGGATATTTCCCGTTTTCTAGTTTAAGCTAGGTCGACCTGAAAGCTCAAATAAAAGGGTGATATCGTCAAAATCACAATGTTTCCCTTGTTTTCGCTAAAATTTGCTGGTATTCGCATTATTGCTTTGTCGAGGTAACTTTGTTAGAACCCGCTTTAATCTCAGTAGTGATTCGAACCCAAACCAACAATACTGGCAGCTACTGGCGCTTTTACGAACATTATGCTGTAGATATATAATAAGGATAAAAGCAACTAAGGTAAAGGTCACTTTTCCACACCTTTAGGCGTATGTGGCATATAGGGCTAGACCTATATTTTTTATAGACCAATCGGCACATGAGGGGTGATGTGGTCAGCATCACGCCGGCCGCCTTTATCCTCAGGACTGCATTCGGTACCGACTCAAGACTGGATGGACCTGGGAGTCCTGCAGCCTTTTTCAGAATCATAATTTTCATGGACAAAAACAGAATAGTGCGTAACACACAGTCTGGCATATTTACATCAATCTCATCAGATGCGTGGCTACAGAATTGTAATGGTAGTTTTTGAAATGGACAAAAGCAATATTCATCTTTGCCGCTTCCTCTTTTACTGCTACAGATGTCAAGGGAGATGTTCTGCTTCTTACTCTTCTGACCGCTGTTGAAAAGTTTCACATGCTATTATCTTTTTATCTTGTTCTTGATATGTCTTGAGCTCTACGCCCTTCTCCTCTGTTGGTGTGTGCCTTGTATGGTATGGAATCACAGGGCATTTTCTTTAAGTGGGCAAACCATTTTATTTATTGTCTGTGAATGTAACTTAGAATTGGTTCTGTGCCGACTTTTTCTCTTATGACCTCAAGTCTGATTTTGTCGTTTTTGGCCAGTCCTGAAGCCTTTTTCAGAATCATTATTTTCATGGAAAGGGGGGGGGGGGAGGGAGGGACAGAATAGTGCGTAACACACAGTCTGGCATATTTACATCAATCTCATCAGATGCGTGGCTACAGAATTGACTTCAGCGTGTAACGAGTACACACACACACACACAAATATAGTGTTCTATTTCACGCCTTGGAAGCCAAAGATCAGTTATAAAATATCAGCGTCAATGCGGATTAGAACCCATGTATTTAAAGCCGGTAGACAAGCGGCTATCCACTGGGTTTCCGTGGCTTTCATTACTCATCTGTTGTCTGTACATTCTCAAAGAACACCCTGCCTACACCACAAAAATGCTAATAGAAGTAAAAGTTAGGGACCCTTTTCCACGCCTTTAGGCGTATTGGGCATATAAGGCTAGACCTGTGTTTAAAGACCAACAAGTACTCAGTGAGTGATGTAGTCAACATGACGCCGACCGCCTTCTTTCCCTTCAAGACTGAGCCGTCATGGGAGGCAAGGTCATTTTTCTAAACAAACAAAAACGTCCAGTTCCATCAGGACCTGAACGTAAAATTTGCCATATAAAAAAAAAAAAACCCAAAACAGCTGTTAAATGCTGGGATTGGTTCTGCAACGTCCTGTAAAGGTTTGCAACTAAATTTAACACCAGGGCCTGAATCCAAGACCTTCCGATCCGCAGGCGAACATCCAGCCGCTTTACCACGACGACTACCAAAAGTGGTGAAACAGGCAGTAATTGGCGGTTGGCAGATGTGCATTTGTAAACACTTCCATCTCTTCTCAACGAGCCTCTGGCTGTTTGTAGACATTATCTTAACTCTGAGCCTGTCTATTTGTAGGCAGTGTGTTGTTATTTTTAGTGTCCGCTTTGTGCAACATCCATAAATCTTCGGTGTATGCTGGGAAACAACTTGATACTGTATCATTGTAGTTTTGTTGTCTTGTATTGGGTGTAAAAATCATTTCGCTTCGTTTTGTTTTCCATTGAATTGGAATTATTTTGTCTTGTATTGGCTGTAGAAATCATTTGTGTTTCGTTTTGTTGTGTTTCGCATTGTACGTTTAAGGAAACTTTTCAAAAACCAGCAACAAAAAATGTTTAGTACAAAACATGTCACATTTGCTGCCTACAGTCACAGACATATGTTATATTAACCGTTGGTATCTGAGTAACTTGCATCTGTGGCTTAGGCGTTGCGAATGCACTTCGTAATACCGGGGTGCCCGGTTCGATACCAGCTACCGGCCTTGCGCCTTGCGTTGGTTTCGACAATGGTAACGAGAAGCCGACCGTCCAGAAGAAATAGCAAACTATTGGACGAAAATGTGCCTAGAAAAACCACAACAGCAAAAAATGTTGGGGTTGGTTCTGCATCATCCTGTAAAGGATATACAACTAACTAACTCTGACCCCGGGTGTCTGTGCTGAACGCCTTCAGACCAGTATTTATTAGGTTCAACTTTTCAACATATAAGGAGTTGAGGAACTGATACAGGTAGTTCTTTAGCAGGTAGTCCTATAGCAGACAGTCTTATAGCAGGTAGTTCTATAGCAGACAGTCTTATAGCAGGTAGTTCTATAGCAGGTAATCCTATAGCGTGTAGTCCTCTAGCATATAGTCATATAGCAGACAATCCTATAGCAGGTAGTAATATAGCGGATAGTCCTATAGCAGATGGTCCTATGGCGTGAAATCCTACAGCGGATAGTCTTTTAGCAGGTAGTGCTATAACAGGTAGTCCTTTTTGCAGGTGGTGCAATAGCGGGGGGTCCTATAGCAGATTGTCCTGTAGCAGATAGTCCTATAGCAGGTAGTCCTATAGCAGGTAGTCATGTAGCAGGTAGTAGTATAGCAGGTAGTCGTAGGACGGATAGTCCTATAGCAGGTAATGCTATAGCAGGTAGTCCTTTAGCAGGTAGTCCTAAAGCAGGTACTTCTAAAGCAGACTGTCCTGTAGCCGGTAATCCTAAATCAGCTGTAGCAGATAATCCTATAGCAGGTAGTCCTGTAGCAAGTAGTCCTATAGCAGGCAGTCTTATAAGAGGCTAATATGTATCATTTTCATTAGATTTGTTGCTTGTGTTTTTATGAAATTACAAGTGTAGTCATGTTTGTGTGTGTGTGCGCGCGCGCGCGCGCGCGAGCCCTCAAGCGCGTGAGTGTGTATGTGTTTGCAAAAAAAAAAAAGCATGAAATATTATGTTACGTTCTATCACTGACTTAAACATTAGTCGTGGAAAGAGTAAACTGATTAGTAAGATGGTTATTCGTGTAAACATGGATGTACAGACGGGCTAGCACGAAGAGAGAAATATACATGCCAATCAGAAATAGAAATTGAGAGACGGACAGGAAAACAAACAGATGGATAGTTTGATGGGTCCAAAAATCGTCTGTAAGGCGTCAAATAGGCCTCGTCTCCTCTAGTTGCACTCCGAGTTTCAGAGCCATATAGAACAGTTGCCGTAATAAGTATTTTATACATTGTGAGTAAACATTACCTTGATATTAAAAACATATCATTATCTATCACAAATAATGAAAAGAATACAATATCACTGTCAACATTAATGACAGAAATGAAAATATATTCTTCCAATATTCTGTCCTCAGTCACAATGCAACCGCTCGCCCATGGTTCCGACAAAATGACACAGAAGAGCGCAATGCAAAAGCCCGAAAAGCGTATGAAAGCCTAATGACGGTCACTTTAAGAAAGCCAACGAGTCCAGAGTACAGGAAGTTTTCCGAAGAAGTCAAGGCAAGAGCAGCTGCCATGTACAAAAACTTTACATACGGAGAACAAGAGGTTTGTCTGTGTTTTTGTTGAACGCTTGATACCGGCATTTCTTATTCTGTGGCACATTCCCGTCTTTCCAGACAACAGAGTTATGTAGTGTTATTAAATGATTGCAGGAAAATAAGATCGTATGGCGATTGCGAATGTGAAGCTCATGCTAGGAAAAGTCTTCCACAATAAAATTTCAGATTAGCTTTTCTTGTGAAAGTTTGCAGTGCTTTTTTTTTTAAATTTAAATCTTACCTCACAGTCCATTTATAATCATTGTTTTCGTTGCACTATTACTGTTCTCATTTTCTCTTCTATGCAACAGGACTGTCACCGACCCCTGATAGACCTTGATGGTACGTGGCTCGTGGTACAGGCCTGTGACAGACAATATATCCTAGAACACATCCAACCGAACACTCACGGAGCACACGCAAAAATCTTTAATGCAAATCACAGACTTACAATAGCACAGTTGACTTCGAAAGGTGTGAATAATACCTTTACCCGAAACGCCAGCCGTGCTAGCTATACAACTCACTAGAAACGGCTTTCTGTTCCCATGTGTAACACTTAGGTCTAAAGCTCCCACTACTTTCGATACGCGCTAATTCTAATGCGCCTAGACTCCAACAGGATCCCACAGTGCCCGCAAAGTGTGGGGTCAGTATGCAAGGATAGACAATATCACGACAGCCATTCCAAAACCAACCCTAACTGTCCGAATACCTCGGCACTGCTTGCGTAATACAGTACGACAAAACAGCTAGACCACAACGCTTAAAACGTTGGAGTGTCATACGGGAGAACCGGGTTCGACCGCCCGGAAGGTGGTAGCGTTTTTTCGGTCGGGGTGGTGTGGGGGGGGGGGGGGGATATAACGGAAGTTTGACTAAACATGGAAGTTGCGATGAAGGCAGGAACTGGAATGAAAACCAAAGATGTAAGAGAATAGGAAGCTGGACCAGAAGCAACATTTGAAACAGAGGGCAAAAACAGAAGTTGAAACAGAAATAGTTGGAAGAGAGAGAGAGAGGGGGAGAGAGACAGAGGTTGGAACTGAGATATGAAATCTGTTAGGAACAAACTCTAGAGAAAAACTGAAACTGCAACAGAAAGAAACGTTGGGTAACATACAACAGTTGCAACACAAACAGAATTAAAATTCAGACTAGTGAAACGTAAACAGAAAGGAGAAGTAAAAGAAACAGAAGTTGAAAAGTTAAATCGGTGTGCAAACAACAATGGCTCAGATACATCGGTTGACAGCGTTACATTTCATATTTATCTTCACCAGTTCATTCAATCTCGGATTAATAATCCGTCCCACAGATTACTTCTTTTTCCTAATAGTTTTACCAGATTTAGCAAAGCAACTTTTGTTTATCATTTAATTCTTCAAGTTTATAACTTTTTAGTCTAGCTGCCGACAGGACTGTCTTTCATTTGTTTACTAATCCTTGAGTTTCATTGGCTTTTCGCGATTTTTTTTTTTTTTTTTTTTGGCTTTAAAATATTGATTTTTCAGCAGCTTGGCACAAAGTCTCTGTTTTGTGGGGTTTTCAATAATTTATTTTTTAATCTACTGTTAGGAAAATATTTTAGTTACTTGTGGATAATCTTGGTAATCTTCGCAAAAACTGGCTTTTTATTGTTGAATAATGAAAGCTTATTTTCGAATCAATATTTTCTTTAAATTAAAATTGTATCATATTTTTCTAAACTGTTTTTTTTTTTTTTTACATTTAAAGTGTATTCATCTTTCAAAAAGCAAAAGTAAAGGTGGTCTGATAAAATGTGTAGTACTTCAGAATTTCAATTAATAAGGTGCCGTCTCCATAATTAAGGTTGGCTGCAATGCCCCTCAGCATGATGTCTCTTAGCCTTCTGTTCGTCTAACTCTTGAAATTATCTTCTCATGTGTTATTTTCTTCTACATTTTGCCTTTTCTTTCCCATTCTCCCTCCACAATGGGTATTATTGCGAAGGTCGCTGGTTCAAATCCGCATAGAGTTTTGTTTTATTATAATTTTTTTAATTTTATTGTAAATAACTGACCTTCCCTCCTCAGGGCCAGCCAGCCAGTCTTGAGTGTGTACCAAGTAAAGTCCGTTAATGTAAAGGCGGCCGGCGTGATGTTAACCACGTTATCCGCTAAGTGTTATTTAGTCTATAGAATATACTTCTTACATGATATGCCACAAAGGCATGAATACGCGGAAATGTGTTCTTCGATTTGTAGATATTATAAGATTGTATTTTAAGGTGGCCAAATTATTTAATTTGTTTCGTTTTCAGCATTTTTTTTTTTTAAAATCTAATCACTAAAAAACCTCTGTACTGTAATTGATTTTTTTTCCTCCATGAAATACAGGCTGTTATTTCATATAACCAGAACTATAGAGACAAAATGTGCTTTCTACTTGCTAGTTAATAGTGTTACTAAACATACAAACGCATACGTTTTTGCTCGTTTTGTGGCTAAAAGATTGCCAATCGGCCCGAAAATCTTGGTTTCATACCTTAAAAAACAGGACTTTTTTATTTTACATAATTGACCTTGGTTCCACTAGTTAATTATGTAAATTATATATCTGAGAAGGGCTCAAGAGTGACCTGAATAGTTCAAATCAGGAATAAAGTCATAAGAGAAAAAGTCGGCACAGAACCAAGTGTGAATAACATTTTTTTTTTTTTTTTTAAACAGCAAATTAAATGGTGTATCGACTTCACGATAATGGCTTGTGACGCCATAACATATAATGTAAAGTCAAAGTAATGTTCTTTGTTTTATCCACGCCTTTAGGCGAATTGGGAATATAGGGCTAAACCTAAATCTTTATAGACCAATCGGCACTTGGCGGGTGATTTGGTCAGCATCACGCCAGCCGCCTTTACTTCCCTGGACTGCACCTGGTACCCACTCAAGACACGACATTCAAAGCACACACCAGACGAGAGAAGGGCGTAAATCACAAGGTACACCAAAAAAGAAAAGATAGAAAGATTTTTAAAAAAAAAAAAGATCCCTTTTCACGCCTTTGGCGCATCGGGTATATGGGAAGAGCGTCCCATATTTTTACAGACCAATCGGCACTGGATGGGTAATGTGGTCAACATTACGCCGGCCGTCTTTACTTCCCCACGACAGCCATCCTGGTACCCATTTGAAGCTGGGTCGACCTGCGACGCCCCATACCATGATAAAAATCCACGCAGCCAGCAGAGGGTTTCAATCGCGGTACGCTGGAGTACGAGGATGGAAAGATAACAACAGAGAAACTCAACAACTTCACCATGTGCCGATGACTGAGACTGCTAGAAGAGCAAGAAGCAGAACCTCAACACCCGAAGCAGAAAAAGAGGAACTGACGAAGAAGAGAGAAGTAGAAGATCTTTCTCCCAGATCGACTGGCATAAAATAAGTACTTGGAAATTCCCTGGGTTAAAAAAAAAAGGCTGTTGGTGTGCTGTTGGCCACATCATTCATCTAGTGAAGATTTATCTTTTAAAGAAAATAATGGGTTTAGCTCAATGTGTCCGTGATGTAAGATATATATTCAAAAGTCATATGAAGTTACCAGTATCTCTTCCCCCCCCCCCCCCCCCCCCCATTCCCCCCCCCTAATACTGGGAACAGTTGTTGGGGCTACGGAATTTCGTCCTTTATAAGACGCTATATTAAAAAAAAAATAAAAAAATTAAAAACTGCTTAGCGGAAGGAGGCCAAATAATCAAGGATAATATGTGATTTAGAAGATTTATCCTCCCATCTAACCACTCACTGAATTAATAACTTGTAGGAAAGTTTCCGAGAGAAGTGCAACAAACAAGCGGCGCAGACATAACACAGATTGTTTAGCAATGATAATTAGCCCTCACCACAGGACAGATGAAGTGATTCTTGCAAGCTATTCTCAGCGTTTTCTTCTGTGGGAGGTGAGAACAATGACAACGTGAGTGCTCACGGGAATGTTATCTCACTTGGAGATATCAACGCAGATCGGCGGTTCGTGTATAGCTGCTTTTTTTTAGACATACCGATGTTAGTTAGTTAGTTAGTTAGTTAGTTAGTTAGTTAGTTAGTTAGTTAGTTAGTTAGTTAGTTAGTTAGTTAGTTAGTTAGTTAGTTAGTTAGTTAGTTAGTTAGTTAGTTGGGTTATCCTCATTGCACTCCGGACATGTCCATAGGTGCTCAGATCCTCCCCTCAGTATGAACCCCAACGTCCGATGGCTAATAGTACCAGTTCTATGTTGATTAACAAGTCTTCTGGCGTGTCTAGTGTGCGTCTCGTTTTTTGCTGTGCCGATCTTAATTCCCAAGTCTGCGATTCTGGCGAGTGATGTGGATTCACTGCCACCAACGTCCTCTATCCTTCCCATTTCTCTGAGGGCATTGATAATATCAGCATGATCCATAGGCTGACCGTCGGTAGTGATAGCGGATCCAGCCAACCTGTCAGCTCTTTCATTTCGATCGACGCCTGCGTGTCCCGGAACACACCCTGAGGAAAGTCTAAACTCACGTGCATGTACTCCATTGCACGGTTCAGACCCCATTCCGATGAAACTTTCACATTATACGTGAGCGAAAATAGCTAATTTGCGCCATTCGCCTCAACGGACGAAAAAGCGTACCGCCATTGTGGCTGTTTACACCGGAAGTGACACATACAGATGTATTGTTTCGTTATTGTGTGTTTGTGACAGCGTTGGAGCTCTTTACAGATAGGTTGGCCGGTTGTGCACTACTTGGTGGTGAATTTATGTATGACAGACTAGATGTTGTGAGGGCCCTTTGGGGGTCGAGTGAACAGTGCGGAGGCACAAATAGATCATTACGGTCTGAGGAAAATGGCAATGTGGGCAGTTACCAGGGGATCTGACCGACGCAAACACTCAAAGGGAAGGCGAGACGGATATTCAATAAGACAGTTACTGGTACCAACGGAATTTGAACTTTGAGCTTGCTGCTGAAGATGGGAACGGAGTGCTTATGGGTGTTTCTCGAGAGCTATGAT